CGGTTAAACTGTGACTTTTAAATAAGGTTCACTTATCTGACATAAAAAAAAAAAAAGATTCAATATTTTACCCCTGCAAATCTATGTATTGTTTTCATGGATGTAGTGCAAACAAATTCAGCATTTAAACTGAATTTGACTCCAGTCCTTGTAGTACATATGCCAGGTCTGTAGGTGGCGCTGTGCCCACCACACTAACATACCAACACCAGCAAAGAATTGTAGCAGAAGTTGAGAAAACCTTAAAAGAACACACAGAGCGAGCTTACAAACCTCGCAAACTGTAAACATACACAACAAGGCAGCGACAGTTAGCTGTAGCACACTGAATAGCCGAAGTAGCTTCTCCAGCACGGTACAAAGAAGCGGGGTCTCCACCGTCCTCATTCTGATCGACGCAAATACTGGATTTTTCAAACCTCTCCACACTGGGACACGTAGGTCTGCGCCCCAACACTTCATCTAAACACAGGGACAATTCTGAGCCATAGCTAAGCTAACTGGTGAGCTAAGATAAATGACATGTAAAAGTCATGCATAAAGGCTAAAATGCTAAAATGCTTTTATCATTTTCTACGCCATCTTTTGGGGAACCATGGGCATTGCAGGGGAAAAGCAGAAGTATAATGACAGTTTAAATAAATTATATAATATTGGAGAAGTAAGGTGGGCCGGATTAAAAAACTGAACGGGCTGCGTCCAGCCCCCGGGCCTTAGGTTGCCCATGCCTGATGTAAACTGTAGAAATAACAACTACAGAGCAAAATAACTAAAGAGTTTTTTATTTTATTTAAATATTATATTTTTATTATATTACTTTGCAATTTTGCTATAATAATGACAAAAATATTCATCTGCCTCGACTGTTAATTTATTCCCTGTCTGTTCCGTTCACTCCCGGCCAGGATTACAGGCCCTGGTTGAGTAGACGCCAGTCAAGTGAGACTAAGGAGTACAGTCAGAGTAAGTACCAGGAAATGTGTTTACATTAAGTTCCTCAATCAATTATCTACCTGTTCAAGGAAAGTTAAATGATTCAAGTATCTCTCTATAAGAATATGGAGAAAAAATATGGAAATGATCTGAATTGAAAAAAAAAAAATAACATTTTCAATGGTAGGTCTTGGTTGTAAGGTTGTTTCAGAACTGTTTTTACTTCTTGGCGTTTGTTGGTTCATTTGTGGTTTATAATTGGTTTCTCTAAAATGTTTTTTCAATGTCCCACCATCTAACGCAGAACGACTACAAATACATCATCTTCAGAACCACAGACTTGTCCTGGTTCTGCTCTGCAGCTCTTAGCAGCTCATTCACACCTGCATGTTCTAGATCCAGTCCTGGTGCCACCTGCTGTTCAGGTCTCCACCTACGGTTGTCACGTACACGCTGGGCTGAACATTTTTGGATTAAATTATACCTTCTGAAAATCTGAACAGTGATTAGCTATGAATCCTGGGAATTGTAACATTGTACAAGGACGTGCAACAATATAATCAACTGTTCACAATCAAGTGAACAAACACTACAAAAAATCAAAATCTCCTCCATAACTGCTGTGACAACTGAGAGCAGGCAGGTTGAGCCGGTTTGTTGTGGTTTCTGCTGGTCTGAGCTAAACACACAGCTGGACATCCTCTCATTCTGAATGGAAGTGTTTTTATTTCGGAACAAATTATTTTAACCTTAGTCTGTTTGTATTTTTCGACTGGTTCTTGTGTCTCACCTCTCATCTGTCCTCAGGTTGTCCATTTCCCGCGTACTCGTGTCCACGCTCCCTCGTCCACCTGTTCCTGCCGCTTGTATTTGCCGCCATTTTGATTGCCCAACTCTCTCCACCTGTCTTCTTAACTCCTCCCCTTTTCCCTGCACTTCCCCTTTTCCTTCCACTAGGGGGTCTCATCTTCCTGAGTCAAAAAGTATTATCTATTGTTTTTCAAAGGTTGGCTCTTGTTGTTTTTGCTCATTGGAGGCTGAATGAATGCAGCGTTTTCAGTCCATTCATCTTTGAAAATTTTCCACTTGGAACATTTATTTCGATTAATAGTACCGTATATACTCGCATAAAAGCCGAATTTAAAACACCAAAAAAAAAATAAAGATCAAATCGGGAGGGTCGGCTTACATGCGCATAAATACCTGAGACAGCATTTTCCATCGACCGCATCATCTCCGATAATAAACACCAAGTCGAACGTGTGGTCAAAAATATCATTACACTTATAAATTAATTAAATCCACACAATCTTCAACTGATATTCAATAATTATTTTAACTGTACCACTGAAATACAGTGTTCCCTCTCCTATCGCGGTAGTTCTATCGCGTTCCAAGACCCACCGCGAAAAAGGGAAAATCCGCGAGGTATATTATTTATATTATTTGTGTATATATTTTCCCTTTACGAACCTCAACCACACTGTTATCAACCCTCCATAGACTGTATTACCCTTTCCCACACAATTATATGCACAGTAGAGTTTTATAATTCAAAAAATAAAATACACATTGTGGGGGCGCGGCGGAGGTTAGCGCTCGGTAGAGCACGGAAGTGGCGACGCAGCCACGGACCGACCGTATATGACGGGAACGGGAACAGCGCAGGAGCGCACATTATTGTAAAATAAATAAATAAATAAGGTTTGTTTACTGTCATCTGTGTCGGCGTCTTCGATTGGGCCTCTGAGAACATGATCAGAGCGTTTAGGAGGCATCGTAGGGATGGATTTTTTTTTTTGTTACTTTAGAGAAAAAACAATTGAAGTTGTAAAAACGTCAAACCCTGGGCCCTGCAGTCCATCGACTGTCATTCAAACACAGAAATCTGATTTTTCCAGTGGTCAGAAAATCAGCTAAAATTGACGAGTCTCTATCTCTGCTGAGACAAACAGATGGAAGGTAAGAATTTGGCATCAACGGCTTGATTTCACAGATTCACAGGCAGCCTTCTGTCAACAGTCCTGTCTGCTGGTGTTGGTTTAATGGAGTGAGGAATGTTTTCTTGCCCCCCACCCCCTCCCCACCCCCCCAACCGGGACCATCATGACAATCAGTTATTGTTTGATGCCAAAGCCTACTGTATATGAGTACTGTGTTCACCATGTGTATCGGTATTAGTGAATAATATTTACCATTGGCTACTGGCTAATCTGAAATAATCTAGTCATGCGGTAGAAGACGAGGACGTGTATTTGACGAAGAACTAGTGAGAAGCTCAGTCTGGGATCATGAACATTTTTATAAATACTTTACTTTTCCTAAAACTAATACTGTACTAAACTGTACAAAGAATCGGCTGTGATTTGTTTATTTTTATAAATAAAATTTAAAAAATAAATCTTATAATTTTTTACAACGTGGTTTCGCCAGATGATGTGACCTAAAAAGTTTTGAAGTGAAAGTGAATGCCTATGCCTTTAACACAAACGGTTGATATCAAAATGGGAAATTGGACATCATCGGAAATATTATTTATGTATGTTTTATAATTAAATATAACTTTTCCATTTTTCTTTAATTTGGTTTTCTTCTCCCTGTGGACGTTGGTTTTCTTTACCTCTGAAAAACTTCAACTCCCTGTGGACATTGTGCTGCAATTCCTGTAGTGTTAGCACGCCTGCCTCGGAAGCAGAGTCCTGAGTTCGATTCCCAGAGGAACCACCTGCTGGATAGTTAATCCTCCTCTTGTCTTTGGAAAAAAGCACCTGCTAAAAATGGATAAATGTAAAATGTAGTGTAATGCATTTAAATGGATAAACAGTAATCGTGTAAACACTATCTATGTGGCCTGGTTCTATGTTTTACTTTTACCCAATCCCTAAAGAAATGACTGTTGTAGATTGAAGTATCATCTTTCAAAGAAAAAAACACATTAAACTGCGTGGTCTCTAAGGTGTACTACTCACTGTACTACTGAAAATGTACAAACAAGTCGTGCTCTTCTTATTAAATATAGCCTTTTAATGAGAAATAGATTATTATATGAAACATTCATTTGAAGAAAGCCAATATAATGACCAGAACAGAACGGCAAAAAGCACATAGGCAAGATATAAGGTGTAAAAATATTCAGACACAGTCATGGATACATGTAAGCAACACCGTGGTAGCATAACGTGGTACGAGTACATGTGCTTGTTTTATGGACCTTGCAACTGGCTCAAAAGGAAAATACAGTGGGTGTGGAGTAGACGATATAAAAAACAGTCAAACATTGTCATGAATCTATAGATACATGAGGCGCGCGTGTCCTGCGGTTGTGCTAATGTACTCAAATGGAGGGCTGCTTTGAAGTTCTTTTTCTATTCCCTTTGATCATTGTTTTTTTTGTTTTTTTTTTTGTTCGTTTTTTTTAAATATATCTTACGGTAATATCGTTACTGTAGCGGAACCGTGTTACCGTAACGGAGTTAGTATTTACAACAATATTGTACAACAGGGGATAAAACACCTTCTCTGAGAGACATTCTTGGTTCCTGTCAGTTAGTTCTTCTGTACACGAGCTCTTGGTTCAGGAGAAGACGCGTGTTTGGGTCTGAGGGTGTGATTTCTCACCTTCCTCTCTGAAACACTGCAACAACTCAACGTTTTGTCAGGCTTTGAAATAAGTTAAAGGGTTTGATAACAGGCACTTTAATAATAATAATAATAATAATAATAATAATAATAATAATAATAATAAAAAGTTTGGATGGATTTTTCAGTAATCGTAGTTAATACTCCAGGTCTTCAGTCACTTGTTTTGACCTGTAGCCTATTCTAATATGTTAAAATTAGCTTTCAACACTTGAATGGATTTTTAAGGAAATGCTCCTGGTATGAGAATGATACAGAAGCAATAATTTCCTGTGTCTTCTATTGTAGAACTGATGAGTGATAACATTATTGGTTTTTAAAAAAAATCATTCTGTATTATGGTATTTTGCAGTAACTGGTGTCTACTGTACTCGAAGTTCCAACAAAACAATTCCATGCCAATATCTATGATAGTAAATGGACAGCAGCTGACAATTAGCTTAGCGCTAACGTGAGTAAAACACTGATATCCCTGCACATCCCCAACCATAGCAGTCATGTGACGACTGTCCGCATCCTAAAAGCACTGTAAAAGTACAAATTATGTTTCAGGGGTATTTTGTTGTAATATTTAATCGAGAAGTAAAGCATAAAGGTGTCCTCTGCTAGTTATGCTAGCAGAGAACCTGCTCATATGCTGTTAGCGAATTAGCAAAAATATGCCAAACCTACATCACATCAGAAAATGTTTTATTTTGTCGAAATTGTGTTGATATTGGTTTTAAGAAGTACTGAGAATACTTTCAACATATTGTGAATCCAAGGATACAACGTTTGAATCTGATATTGGTAAGTACTGAGAATACTTTCAACATACTGTGAATCCAAGGATACAACGTTTGAATGCAGTAAAGTTAGCGACTTCTTTAGCTACAGTGACTTCATTTTGTGTTCAAATCCCTAATTCCCTTTCTTAGTGGTACTGGTGGTACTAACTTTGTTGGATTTTATTTTTTCAAACTTTTATATTCATTGTTTTAAAACATAAAATAAATATCTTTGTTTCAAAACTCAGAACTGCCAGGAACGGTGAGTTTGAGCCCTGTCGGATCAGCGTCTCAGTCCTAGAGTCGGCGCCGTTCCATTTACTTTGTCGTCAAACGCTCCATCAGGTTTGAGGGGAACTGACTTTATCAGGTCAGTGTAAAGATGTTTAAGACCAGGGGTTTTGAACTTTGGCCGAGTCAACCTGGAATTTATGGACCCTTTCTGAAGCCAAGTGTTCACTGTGGAAAAGACACTGCTCTGGGCAGTCAAACAGTGTTTTTTTTCTTTGTCATAAAGTGGGTTCAGACTCTGTCCGTCCAAAGACATGAAACAAAGGGTTTCATATGAATACATTTTGCTTTAACTATGGGACACATTTTTTCTATAAACATTTTTTAACGAACAGTTACATTCCTGTTAACTGACAGGAAAGTAACTTGGAAAACCTTATATATACTACGGGCTATACTATAGCTCGTAGCGCGAAGCCCCACTGTGAAGTACAACACGTCACCACTGTTCTCACAGGTTTCAGTACTGGACGGTTCTTGAACCAATCACAGTCGCTTTCACATCTCTTTAGATGTTTTCCTTTGATTGTTGGAGTCAGATTTGGATTAAGACTTTCAGAAGCGTCTCTTCCACAGCCACAGGACACGTTTTCAAAATGGTTGCCGTCTAGACACGGCACCATCTGAAGTAATTTGGTCTTTCTGGCCTGATGTTTTCTGCCAGACCTATGGAGAAGTGAGAATTCACTTCCTGCCTCACTCTTCTTCTGGAGGCCATTTTGAATGGTTGGATATTTAAGCTGGGTGGTGTTTTACCCTTTCACTGTGTGCTTTTAAAGGACTTTAGGAAGAAATCAAAACGCTTTTTTCTTTAACTTTTAGGATTTGCGAGAGGTACAGATTTAATCAAGCCGTAGAATCTTCTCAAGGATGTTTTTTTGCCCTCACGGAACACTAGTTCACGCACCAAGGTCTAAATCCTTTAACTTTAATTCAGTTTTTTTAATGATGATATTTTTATTACATTTTCAAAAAGCCTATTTAGCTATATATCAATTTCAAATTGAAAGAGAAATGAATAAAAGCATGTATTTATTCATCTATTTTGCTTTGAAAATGTCGTGAACTCATGGACTGACGCAGGAGTCTGAAGAAAGTCTCGTCGTTCCTTCCAACGCTTATATCGCAAACCAACATTATACCCAGCGATGGGTCGATTCTTTCACACAAAGTAGGGGGAAAAAAACCCAACACTATTAAATTAAAATTTTGTACAAATGTTGTCCAAAATACACACCGAGGAGAACGATAAAACCTGTGAATTTCAAGTTGGGACTTAGGGTTAACGAGAGCACAGGTAACGAGAGGCATTTTATCACATTTGAAACCCTTTAAGAAAAGCAAAGCTAGCTGTATGGCTTCGGGTTGTTCCCTTTTTTGTTAACTAACATGCATGGCATTGAAAAGACCTAGAAAAACGCTGTAAAAAGCAACATTTTAGCATCAGTTTACCCAAAATAAAATGTGACCAAAACACTATTTGTGTCAAAGTTGCTGTTTTTTTTTTTTAACTATTACGTTACCTATTTAGAGTTGTGACTCAACTCCGTATGTGTTACTACCTTGAGTGTTTCTCAGCATTTTGTGTACTGCATATTTGTGTATTTTGGAAACTAAAAATCTAAATTTTAATCTAAATTTTCAACCTAGCTAAAGTCCATCGTATTCTTCCTAATTTTTTTTTATTGTGTATTGTTGATTTTTATATATAGTTTGGGGAATGACTGTAGGAGGCGCGTTTGTAAAAGGGTGTAATTTCTCTTTTATGTAACATTCACTCGATCCACACAAATCTGTGCCTCTCCTTTATAACTGTACCCTTAAAATTCTTTAAGTTTATTTCTTTATCTTATTTCATAATATTCTAAACTAAATTCCAAAAGTAGTGATATTAGGATTTTCAAATGTCCATTTAGGTTATTTTTAATTTTTAAGAAACCTAAATACTTTTTTTATTATTTTATGAATTACCAAAACTACTCGTCGCAGCTTCTCAGAAACAACCACTTGGAAAATCCTAATCAAAAAGTTATAAAAAAAGGAGCGTTACAAAACCTTTGATCCAGAGCTCTGTAACATTATTGTAGGTGTTTTCATACATGGCCATAAAAACTAAAATATTAATCACTGCCAACGTTTTTTTTTTTGTTTTTTTTTTTAACACTGCAATACAGAAACTGTTTCCTTCTTCTTTCTTCAACTGACGTCACAAAATTCAATTAAATTCAAAAGATTCTCATCAGGTTTATTCCCTCATGGATTTTCTGCCATTTTTTAATTTGTCCCTATTGGAAACCAAGTGAGGAACCGGACTACAGACATAAAGACGTACAAATGGAACACTTAAGTCTTTGCCGTGGGTTCAGTACTATATAAAACATGGGTGTATTCCATGTCTACCTCAGGGAAGTGTATGGCTTTAAGTTGTCTTGCGAATGTGTCTGAACAATGAATGTTTTGCTCTCGGTGCTGAAAAAGCTCCACAAATCAGCAGTCACAACATGTACGTTTTGCAAAGCTGTACAAAATAGCATTGATTGTTAAATCTTCAGACCACAATATTGCACTCACGCACCAGGAGGTACTGCCTTGTGAAAAAAAGGAAGAAGAAAAAACAAAAAGAAAGGAAAAGAAAAGAAAAGAAACAAAGGAAGAAACAGCTTGTAGTATTTCAAACACGGGAAGAAGAAGAAGAAGAAGAAGAAGCGATCCAAATTCAGCTGGGACGGGAGTCGGTCTCAAATAACACATTCAATTAACAAACGACGATAAGCATCAAGCCAAAAAGGTATGTGCACGCTAACAAACACACTCGCGCGCGCACACACACACAATCACCCACATATATATGTATATTTATAAACAGCTGGCTTCTGTTATCCGACATGACGATCCATCACTGCCCCACTGTCCAGACCACGCCGCTCTCACGGTAACTTATGAAGAGCGATGCCGATTCTCTGTGGGTTGGTCTATGAGGAGTGGATTACGCCTTCACTAGGGCTAATAACGCTGACAAGGTAGAAACACCTCCCATAATAAACTGTCTACAAGGTCTGAAATATTCGGAACATTCCCCGAAATAAAGGATATCTGGTCTGCCCTTGCGTCATTGTTCCTTTAAAAATTTATTTTATTTTTATGTCTTTTTTTTCTCAATAAAGAATGGCAGTTTCAGATAAAACCTTTGATCCCTTGGATAAAGTCAAGGCCTCTTTTCGCCGGTACATAAATTAAACTTTCTTCTCTCTCTCTCTCTCACTCACTCTCGTTGTCGTTCTATCTCTTTTAAGTTCTTTTAGGGAATGACAGACATGCTGGGAACAAATATGATACAGTCCTTGGAGTTTATCCAATAATCTTCTTTATCTTCCTGAAATTACTTTTCATCACTGGCTTTTCTTTTTTTTTTTTCTTGTTAAGAATTATGATTACAAAGTTAATATTACATCAAAAGGCAGAAAAGGTCCAAAAATGAAAAAAAAAAGAACAAATTAAGATTCAAACCCTCGTATTGTCCTTTTGTTGGATGTGTGTTTTTTCTTCGCTCTTGTCATTTTCAACAGAGTTTAGCAGTCAGGTGGTCTGACTGTTTGAGTATTTCTGTGCTGTACATGTCCAAAGCATGATTGACTCGAATCATCTCACTGTTGGTGAGCTTAAGCCTATGTTTCAGCATACAGGAGAAAAGGTCCAGTTGGGGTTTCCCCGGAGCCGACGGAGGGGCGAGGCGGTTAATCCGATCCCTTATGTCCAGTAGGAGGAGCATCACGGATGAGGATGAGTAGAACTGACTTCCCTGTGTGTACGACTGGTTCGCACTGCGGAGCAAGTCAGCGTTAAAACGCAGGCTGTAACCGAAAACTTGAATATCGGATATTTTTATGTAGATCTGCCGTTTGTTCGGGTCCGCCAGATCCACAGGCCCCTGTCCCGTGTCGTTGCGTAGGCCGGTGGGGACCTTAGCACGGCTCCGCAGGTAGATGTGCACCGTCTCAAAGAAGGTCTTCCAGCGGTTCCCCAGCAGCAGAGTCCAGTTGAAGCACTGGGAGTTCTGCAGGCGGACTTTCTCCCAGCGGGGGTAACCGTGTTCTCCAAAGGGCATGCTCCAGCCTTCTGAGTGACTGCCGCTGAAAGGGTTGACGTAAACAAAGAACATGGGATCGATACTGCTGTTACGCATCTGGCAGATCTTCATCGACAGACCGATTATCATGTGGAGGTAGTCCATCCTGTTTTTGTTACTTTTCAGAGTCAGGGACATGCGCTTACGCCATCGCGGGTCGAAAAATGTTTCCAGCCGGATCTCGTTGCTGATGAACGTGGTGTGGATGTACAGCCGAGAATCCATTTTCTGTAGCAGGTATTTGAGCTCCAGGTCCTGAAAGTCCAAATCGGTTTCGAAGCTGATGAATTGCTCGCTTCGCTCTGAATCCACATTCTGGGGTTCACAGCGTCCACGGTACAACTTGTAGCCCTTGTTGCAGGAGCCACACTGCGAGATGTTAGCCAGGCTGCACATGGCACAGCTATTGTTGCCACCTATGACACAAGGGATGGGTCTCTGGCACAGGGTGACGCCTGTGTGGCACACGCATGTCCTTTGGCTCTCCAAGAACGTCCCCCAGAACCCATTCTCATTGCAGTAGAGGAACGACTGAACCCTGTTTAGCCACTGCATCACAGACCTGCGGAGAAAAGGAAGAGACGGAGAAGAAAGAGAGAAACGGGGGGAAGGGGAAGAGAGGCAACAAGAGACAGAGTTAAAAGTCAACGAGCAAAATGAAAATAGAACAGAAGGAAGAAGTGCTGTCAGATAGCTAGCTGGATAGCTAGATAGATGGATGGATGGATGGATGGATCGATGGATAGATGGATGGATAGACAAAATGTCCTCGGGAGTTCTCCTTCGGGAAATTAAGGATGTTTATAGTACGTCCTCGGGAGTTCCCCTTCGGGAAATTAAGGATGTTTATAGTCATATTCAGCATTGTCATAGTATGAACATTCCAGCAAAGACCTTTGTTGTTGCTGCAACAAAAAGCTGCCGTCTGTATGAGGAACGGTGATATTTTATTCCACACAATGAAGCGAAGTTGCCTTATTTCACTAAAGTGGTGTTACTTGCTATTCTTATCCCATCTCTTCTTAACCCCCAGAGGTATCGCTCCTTGTCATCTTGACAGTAGTGTATCTTCTTTTTTTTTTTTGACTCCGGGAGATGAATTCTGAATCCTGGTTGTTTTAAGGATGAGGGCTAGTCAAGGTTAGTTTGACATGTTAATGAACCTGAGCATTAACTATGATGGATGACATTGAATTCTCAGCAGGCCAAGGAGCCCCGAGGCAACACCCAAAAAGAGCAGAGAACAGATCAGTGATAAAGGACAGCTGAAGCACATCGTTTGATCCTGCTAACTTTGTCTTCGTGGGAACCCTGGCTAAAAGAGAATGTTTTATATAACTTTCAAGATACTTTCAACATAAATCTCCCAAAATGTTTGGGCTCACGAGCATGAAGGGGGAAAAAAAGGGTACAGATAGCCAGAAATACTAAATACTTCATGAGGAAAATGTATGCGAAAAAGATCGACCAATTATTAATATTGAGCAGAGGGAGTGGATAACAAATGTGCGCTGGGAGAACTTTTTAAACCTGCCCTAAACTACTTAATGCAGCGAAATTATAGATTTTATTTTAAACACGTTTCATGTCCGTCGTCGTAAATAAGTCACATTTAAATTACACTGACATTAGGGGTTTGACCTGCATAACCACCAGTCAATGACATCTGATGGTACAGATGGTACAGGTTGTCTTCATCACCTCGTTCGAAAATGTCCCTTCTGATTGGTTGGACATTTTACTCAAATATCAGTCCTCTAGTTTTCACTCACCCCCTGAAGAACAGAACATGTCGGAAAATAAATAAATATGTATGTAAAAGTCAAATCAGGGATCAGGAATGAGGTCATTAGAGGGACAACACAGACAGGAAGGTTTGGAGAAAAAGCTAGAGAAGCCAGATTGAGATGGTTTGGACATGTGCAGAGGAGGGACAGTGGATACATTGGGAGAAGAATGTTAGAGATGGAGCTACCAGGTTGGGGAAAAGAGGAGATATATGGATGCAGTGAGGGAGGACATGGAGATAGTGGGAGTTAGAGTAGAAGATGCAGAGAACAGGGAGAGATGGAAATCAGTGATCTGCTGTGGCAACCCCTGAAAAAAAAAAGGGACAAAGCCGAAAGAAAAAGAAGAAGATGTATGTAAAAGTCAAAGGCTCTTCTTCTTCTTATCATGCCCATCTCTGTCTAGACCAGTGGTTCTCAGACTTGTTTGGTCATTCCCCAACAGTAGTTGTGGTAATATCTGTCCTAATACTTATCGACTTTCACCTTTTTTGTCTTTTTTTTATTTTTTGTCTGTCAGGCACGACAGCTGTGTTTTTCTTACTTCCTGATCTGTTGACTCTGGCCTGTACCGTAGCAGCATTAAGGTAAAGAGAACTGAATTTACGATGATATGATGATATTCGCAGTTCATCGCTTTCACATGAAGAGAAATTTCTAAAATGAATTTGCTCGGAGCTATCTTCATAATTAAAGTTGCTCGAAGTTGACAAGTCACTGGCAAAGTTTGTTTAGCATGAGTCACGAGGATCGCTGTTGACATAAGAAGATTACATTCAGTCTGCAGAGAATGCTTTTACCGCTGCCACGGATGCTTTATATTTAATCTAGTCGGAGGATTGTAATAAAAAACTGTTGACAGTTACCATTAAATATAAGCTATTCCCAGATCACATTAGCTTTGAGGCTAGGTCGTCTCGTTCATGATCTCATCACTGCTGTACGTTCACTTTCACAGGTGCACCCAAACAGAACAGTTTAAATGGCTCAAACCAACCAGTATAACAGGTGGTGCTTTCAAATTATGAAAGAATACGTATATATTTAATGGGTACATAAAGTGGTTTATTTTAATTAAAGTGGCTAATTGTGTTGAACTAGGTGTAAAATCGTTCTAAATGGAACACAATTAAGTCAAACTCAGGTTTCTTTTTTTGTCAAAACCTCGTCTGCGTGTCGTCTCTTTTCAGCACGTACAGTAACGACAGTGTGGCTTCAAATTTTCTTTACCGTACAGTGTTAGTGTCTAGTTAAGTTCGGGTGTCTTTGGGGGGAGAAAATAAAACTAACAAAATAACATTTTCATCCCCCTGTTGTGTTGTTTTGTTTGCCGTCTTACTCTCCACTTAACGGACCTTTACCAGTTTGCTGCGTTTGCTGCTGAAGTTCCTGCAGTAAAAATAATTACTAATGAGAAAATTAATATTAGCAACGAGAAAAAACTACTTATTTATGCATCACACATAAACACATCAGACAATATTTGTGCTTAGTTCTGTTTCTTTCCACTTAAATGTACTTTTGTCTAGCTGTTGTTTCATTAGTCTTTGATCAGGGACACGGGTGAGAAAGCGAAAAGAAATTATTTCTGCATTTCTACAAAGACCGACTTGATGTGATTTTTATCTCTCAGAAAATTGCTGAGATAACTTGTTTTTTATTCCATTGACTTTTTGACAAAAACAAAGAATTGTCTTTTTAATTTTAGTAACTTTTGATCAGGCGGTAAATTTGACGCACCGCCTCAAAATCAACAATTCTCAGATGCTCAGTGTTCATGCGTGGACACCAAAGAAAGATTGATTATTTTCTGAAATTTTGAGAGTTTTTTTTTTTTAATTATTTTTGGAAATCATCAAAACTTAAACTTATCAAACTTGGTAAACTGTGGGTGTGGGATCGTTATTAGCAAATTAGCATAAGCTCAGTGTTTTGCGATTCAAGCACTTTTTTTCCGTGTCATAAAACTAGTTATACATTAACTAACGAGGAGCCACATGGCTGATCATCATGAGTTTAGACTTGAATTGACTGACTGAAAAGCTTGGACGGCACACCTTCCCAAAACAACTCAACATACCCCCTGGGAGACTTGGTTCTGGGCTTTGCATGGCTAGTCATAAAGGACCGGATCCCCCTGCTGGTTCAAGCCAACATCTGGTACAGTGTCAGGATCAGTGTGAGTGCAGTTTTGTTGATAAGTCACTAGTTGGCTAACAAATAGATGGATGGATGGATGGATGGATGGAAGGATAGAGGAATTGCCTTCAGGAATCTAAGCTTTCTCTCTGTCAGGAAATCAGATAAGTCTCCCGCGTGACATTCAAGGATACTTACCACTACACTAACGAGGAGATATGCTATGTATTTAGCTAACAAATTAAAGAAACACGTAATTGGCTGCTAGACACTACGAGCCTTTGAAACTATTCCAGTAGAAATGTGCATTTCTTTGACTGACCTGGACATTACTTAGCTTAAGAAACTAATGCTACACCACCACAACAGATCCTGTATTTAGAGGGAAAAATTTTACAGTGGGACAAAGAAAGACATCTACGGCGAGAGAGAACAGACTACCTATGGTCTCGTTTAAAGGAATAAAAAAAGTGTGTGATTAAAACAATTGCGTTTCTCAAAGCAGACGCTCAGAGAAAGCATAACGGTTAACGTATGAAGTGACGTGTCAAAATTAATCACAATTAGGGTGAAGTTTAGTCCGTCTTTTGCAAAATACATGCGTATTTGTAAATATGCGGGACCTTGAGCATGAATAATTAACAGATGCAAATGAGCTGGCTGGCAGTGATGCTACTTCATATCAGTCACCATTAATCATTTATACCAAAGACAAGCTGCTACGCTCATTACAGGAAATGCAATAGCAAATCCAATAAAGTTCACGTATCAGGTCTCCACACTGTCACCGCGGCGAGTGTTCACAACAGGAATTTACAGTTCTCTTAATGAATGGATGTCGTGTGGCGAGCTAACCATAAGTGATGAGGAGACGTCCATTCATTTTTAAAGACGAGGACGAACGCTTTGATAGCTGTCTTTCATTAGCTGATGTAAAAAATCTCCATCGACCGACCTTATTTAATGCAGTTTTCTGATGGGCAACATAATTTAGGGCTTAAAATCTTTTTTGGATAAGCACTTGATGGAACAAGGTTACATCATGATAATTGTACTAAGTAATACGCAGGGTTAGCTTGTATTATTTTGCATCTGTAATTTAATTAAGCTAAAATGCACTGGAAGTCGCTTAAAATGGACGTTCCCTTAAGAAGACATAACAAATATAAATTAAAGAAAGAGAACATGTAAGACTGCACTTTTGTATATGAGGTAACCTCCTTTATGAATGTAACGCGCACTGCAGTTAGCGTAGCATATAATATTAACCATAATGCTAGGCTAACCAGTACCATATAAAAACTAAATATAAATATATATATATATATTACAATTACCCTTATTCTGACTATTATTTGTGATATCCGATAACATCGACCAACCAATATTATCATCCGATATTAGCATAATGATGTAATATCTGTAAGAATTGTTAGCGTTTTCCTCCGTTAATGAAATCCTGATAATGCGATGCCTGAGTTTTGTCAAATGTTGTGACTGGACAATATCGCAAAAAAGTTCATATTAGAAACCCCAGTTTTACAACAGTAATTATAATCTAATCGACATCCAGCTCTAAATCAGAAAAAAATAAGTTTTTCAGCTGTTAGGCTAACAGTCGGACACGTTTATATCTGCATTATCCTTCACTTTATCATAATTAAACAAACAGATGTATCAAGTGTTTTTGTTTTTGTTTTTAAATACTGGAGGACCACTCCCGGAGCGCTACTGTGTTTATTTGATAATAAATACTGTATTATTTAAATACTCAGCACAGCTCAGTTGTTGAAGGTACAATTCACAACAAATGCTGGAGATCATTTACATACAAACAGGGAAATGAAGAGCGATGCACCGATGGAAACTAAGAGGACGAGGGATAAATGAGCCAGGTAGTTCTCAGATAAAAGCCCTGGTGCTTTGTAGAGCGACACGACAGAGAAGTAAATGCTAATTTAAAAACATTGAAAATGAATTAAATTGTTTTAATTACGGTCACTTTTGACAAAGCATCAGGCATCTAATTTGAGGTACGTAAACAGAGGTCCTCGCTGAGGAGAATGTGAGAAAAAGTAGTAGTTGTAGAGTTTGATGAAGAAGAAAAAATGTCGTCTGTGTCCTGATTATTCTCTGACCAGAATCTGCATCTAAGGAAGTTCTTCACTCCTGAGCGATGCCCAATATTTATAATTCAAAAAATGTAAACAAAAAGCTTGTGCATTCACAGGACCATTATGTTTCCAATGTTCTACAACTGCTCAGAGAACGTCTGCCGTCAGTGACGCCTACAATGAACCCAATGAACATAATCTTTCCATATGGGAAAATACACAGAGTAGCAGGTACGTAGATGACGACACCATCCTCCCCACTGTCTGCCTGATGCCTGAACTGGAGTGGATCCAAATGGTCTCTCACGAGGGATCCGGCCTGCTGTCATTTAGAACCCTGGCGAGCCCGTTCTTAGCCACTGGGGCCAGGCAAGATGTTTTTCACATCATCATCAGCACACTCAGCAGACTCTATGACAGGTTGAAAATGTGCTGCGAGGCCTCCCTGAGGTGTTTGGCACACACGCCTTGAAAAGACTCAGGTTGACGCTTGAAGGGCCTCTAGCTTTGGTTCAGTTCCCTTATCCTTTGATCAGCTGTTATGGACTGTGAATATGAGAGTTGATGGCTCGTAATGGACTGAGGACTGGGGTGCAATTTCCCAGGACAAAAAAAAAAAAGAAGCAAAGGCAGTAATGGAAAAAAAAAAAGAATAACCAACCGACAAATGTGAAAAACTGAAAAAAAAAGAAAAGAAAAGAAAGGAAAATACCAGTTGTAGACACGAAGATGAAAGACTAAAGGATTACATTTTATGTTTCAGGGAATTAAAGCGGTGGCTGATAATCTGTCATTGTCGGGTGTACAGAGCAGACAGTAGGAATCAGCAAGAGAAAAGTCAAGCCGTATAGTATCTTATAAAGTAGCACTTGCTTTTGAGAAGTCAGTTTCTGAGTTCATTACTGCCTACAACTCTGCTGATCCCCACAATATATGTATATGTAGAGAGGCAGTTAATATTGACATGCTAACCACGATAACTAGTTTCTGGACTATAAGTCGCTCCGGAGTCCAACTCGCTCCAGTGCCCTCTAGTGACTGTCAGGGTGAAAATAACAAACGTAAATGATCAGTGGTACAGGAGTAGCACATACTGGTACACAACTCTAGAGTGCCATCTAGTGGGTGTTAGTGTAAAAAATAACAAAGATGTGATATTATATATTTTAGTATAAGTCGCAAACCCAGCGAAAGGATGAAAAAAAGTGCGACTTTTAGTACGGAAAATACGGTAGTAAAAATAATCTAGGAACGTTTTTTCCTGTATATCCAGTAATTTCACTGTGCATCCACTTTTGTTTTTGTTTTAACCAACATCCTGCAGTTTGTCAAACCCTGTCATGCGTTTGTGGGGCTTCAACATCAGGTGAGATGTCTGGTTAAATGGACTGTGAGGGACCGAAGACCAATGAATAATTTAAAGGACTTTACTGTAGTTTTGAAGGATTGGACTCTCAAAGTGTTTTTCGAATCACAGTCACAGTAACGACTTAAATCTACCAACTCTCCGCAGCTAAACTTTGAGTTAATATGTTTCCAAATTTTTCACGATATGTCACCATGTTATAAACTCACGTCATTTGGAATAGTTACAAATTAAAGTTATAAGTCTTTCTGATCCAGCATAAAACAATATTTTTGTCATATTTAGGAGCGCTCATTAATCATGAATAATCGTGATTAATTTACAACTTTCCTGTGGTTAATCCAAAAACATATACACAATACACATATTTGAATATGTATCGTATTCACACATATATAAATACATATATAATATAATATATATTTAAATATATTTATATATGTTTAAATATATATTATTGTATATGAAACAACTTTTTTGTATTAAATATATACATATATTCATAGGTTGTGTAACAAACGAAAGATATATATATATAGAAAGATATATATATATATATAGGTAGAGATTAAAAAAAATTGTATAATATTTTATATAAATATAAAATATAATATAAAAATATAAAATATATACTATTCATTGTGTATTAGATTTAGATTGAAGCTGTACCTTGTGGAGTATTCACAGAGTATTCACCTCTGTGTGAGACGTCCTGTATATGTAAATGTGATAACATGTACACAAGGTGATAATCACAATATGTTCTCCACAGAAGAAGAGTTGTGTCGTACACACGCGAGCAAATGAACAAGTTGTGCCTATTTGCAGCACCATCAGGCACTCGACGTGTACTTCATGGAAGACGGCGCGCACGCCCTGACTTTCTGATAGCACTTGAGAAGAACCCTCTGCCAACTCTTACCCACAAGTGCGGGTGCATTTCTGTTTTTACAGCAGCGACAGTTGCTCATTTTCAGACCACTTAAATCCATATTAATACGATGGCAACCCTGAGGAATTTTCCATTCTTGGCATAGAGTTTTCAATTGCTGCAAAAAAAAAAGGGGGGAAAAAAAAGAGAAAAGGCGTGCGTTCAAAGCTCTGCTGCCACCGGGGCACGTCTGTAGCGGGGCTCTTAAGATGCGAGTGTGGACGGTGGTGACAGATGTGTGCAATGACCTATCAAAAAACCTCCCACAGCTACATTTTCCTCCAGACTGAAATGGAAAATACAAGAGTGAGCGAGAGTGCTATGGGCATGTGCACGCCTCAGCACTGAGCTGAGTGGATAGACAGGAACAACAGGATCATAAGTTTTAGAAATATTCCTAGTCTCAGATCTAGGATTTTTAGGAAGAAAAAAACTCTGTTCAATCCGACATGGTGTCACACATTTCCTCAAATACTGGATATGTATGGACAGGACGTTCACGTTTGAGCTAAAATGTCATATTTTTGTTATGATGCTGAAAGACCAGTTGTTTTTCTACCCACCTCTCCCTGGGCATCTGGTGGTTGGGATTGTGGTGACAGCGGATGCTGAGGCCAAAGAGCTTGCGGGCGGTGTGTTGGATCTTGGAGCGCTGAATGTCGAGGGAACTCTGGAGGAGCCTGTAGCGAGCTTGCAAGTCCCAGTCACTCCCCCACAGGAGGTGCACGCTGCTGATGGGCAGGAAGTGAGTCGAGGGCAGCCTCTTCAGAAAGGACTTGAACTCATCTGTAGGTAAGAAAGAAAGGGAGTGATTTAGACATCTGACTGAGACAAAAGGCAATAACAATGAAAATGCTATTTGGATTCACACATTTTAGCATTCGTTTTTTTCTGTTAGGGTTTTTTTTACATTTCATTTCATTATTATTATTTTTATCACCATTTTATTTATTTTATTTATCACCATCAGAGGTGCTCATTGATTATGAAACTAAATCATAACTGCACTAAAACCAATAACCAAAGGCTGTCAAAACAAATGTGAAAATCACATTAATTCATCCACCAACTCTATGGAAGATATTTGGGCTTTTAATTTTTTAAATATTTTCAGTGTGTTTATTCATCCAGATTATCATAATTAATTACGACCAAGATTAGTTGTGAGCACATTGTGTTTATTCATCCAGGTTATCATAATTAATTACGACCAAGATTAATCAGTATTACTTCTGACTAAGATTATTGATTATTAATTATTATGGTGATTAATCAAGATTTATCATGATTAATCGTGATTTATTCTGATTGAGATTAATGATTACTAATTGCAAGCATGATTCGTTACAATCAAGATTGATAATGATTAATCACGATTAAAAATGACTAATTTACAGCCATTTACAGAGATTTATTGGATCCAAAATTTGAATCATTTGACAGTCCTACAACAACCTGCTCTGTCAATCCTTAAGTTTGGCACCTGAACCTGCAGCTTTGTCTCCACTGTGTTAAAACCAACACAATTATGACTAAGGCGGGACTATGTGACGACATATTAAATTTAACATTTAATAATATAAGATTTAATTCAGTTGTGACGGCGGACTAATGTTTGTAGTTGTATATTTTTTCAGATCCAAGCCCTGAGCATCGACTAGAAAAAAACCTTTCTGTCCATAATCCAGCAGCTCAACATCAGCAGAGACCTCAGCTGTAGGCCAGTCGCCTCCTCCAGACCTCCTGGTGACAGTTGAACAGCTTAAACCATCAGATCTTTCCCGTTAGAGCAGGAAAACATCAGGGTTAGCCTCATGTCAGAGCTCCCTTTCCGTTTTTCTTCAAAGACTCTACACTCTCCTCCCCTGCTCTGAACTCACCATATCCCTCCACCCACCTTTCAGATGTAGAAACCGATGCCCTGAACCTTTCTTTAACAGAAAAGATGCGTGTCTTCATTTCTGAACACTCACAAAAATATACTTATCAATCCAGGTCAATGGTGTCCAATTCCTCCACCAAGCATGTAAGCCATCACAGCTCCCTCTCGGTGACACTGAGTCCTAATGGTCCTCACAGTCTCCTTGAATGACTCTTATCACAAGTCAGCCAGCACAACTTATCTGGAGATTACAGCCTTCTTGGTCAAACTGCACTTTCTGCCCTCGCACTGTTGGGTTTTGACTGATTGTCTCTCCGGCCTGTGGGCATTAAGTCCTCTTTTGTTATTCTCACTGTCTCGGAGTCTTAGGTTTCTGTTTATGGGCTGATTGAGATACGAAGAACACCTGGGACATTATACTTAATTATAAACCATATTGTGGACTGTTTGACATCTGAAAGACGGTCAGTATCTACACAGGACTGTCCACGGACGTGGTGCGGTTGGACACTGAGTCTTTCATATCACAATCAGTGCTTTTTGTTTTCATACACCGTCAAGATGCACAGTAAAGGCTGAAATCCATTGTAGCTAAAATGAAGCTAAATTACAATTATGATTAGCCATGTAACGATGCATCCTGAATTGGTAAAAAAAAAAAAAACTGCGTAAAAATTCACATTGGTCAAAAAGAATCCCACATCAAGGCCTAAAAAAGGACGCTGCATTTCTCTCGTGACAGTAAAAAAAGAATCTCACATCAAGGCCTAAAGAAGGACGCTGCATTTCTCTCGTGACAGTACACACTCCAGTACAGTAGGTGGCGCCTAACAACAGTAGTTGTGACCTATTAAACCAACTGGTCAGGTGCTTACGTTGCCTACGTGACATTCAGGTGTTGAAACAGAACGTGGGAAGAACTTGTTCCACAGACACAAACAAAAGTTGGATAAAATGATATCGTGAACAAAAAATTGTGGAACATTTTGAGTGTATTGTTATATCCTAACCATGATGAGTCATTAACAATAATTCTTACTCAACATGTAGCCTGGGATTAATCAGAATATAATTTTCAGTGGTTGACAGTCCTACTATATTTATATCTCTTAACAAAGTACTCTATCGCATATTCATTTTACAACCCATGGGTGCGAGATAGTACTCTTTCATTGTACCACAGATTGGCGTATACAGCATAATTAATTATATCATCAATAGTTATGTCAAGCCGTATATTTTGTAAAAAGGAGCATTCCCTTTTTGCAAACCAAGGTCCTCTGTGTCTCACTTTCTACCACTGCTGACTCGCCTCTCTATAAAACAAATATATTTTATATATATAAAAAACAGAACTGCAGGGTGCAGTTTACATACAGTGTTATTTCAATGAAATACTGCAGTATTGTCACAGTGATTCAAATGTCTTTGTTGTAGTAAAAACATTTCTTACCAGAGCTCTCAAAGTCTTTGTACGAGGCAGCCCACAACTCGGACATTCCCAGCAGGGTGTTCTCCATAATCTGGATGTCTGTGATTGGACAGTTGCATTGTGGGTAGTCCTCGGCACACTGACAAATGCACTGGTTGTTGCGACAGGTGTACTCTCCTTCTCCGTTGCACATAATGTAGCTCAGAGCCGACTGGACAAACTTCTCCTGCAGGTACTCTGGGAAAATGACCTGGAGACCTGGAAAATCAATCAAGGACGAGTGAATCATCCAGAAAAGCATACGTCACAGACGGGAAAACTTCGGTTACTGTATCACTGTATGATTCGGCTTCAATTAAAATGTTGTTTGTCAAACATATTTCAGTGATTCGGCTTCAATTAAAATGTTGTTTTAGACCTGAAACATCCAATCATGTGTTTACTCTAATGACTTTTATTCTACCTAGAGTCGGGAAAATAGGATTTCCAGTGAGGGAAGACTTATATGAAAAAAAAAAAAAAAAAAAAAAAAAAAAAACTGTGAAATGGCTCAATGCTTTTCCAAGATTGCTTTTTGTGAGAGGCACAGATTTTCTTTGCGCTTCAAATCCTAGTCATGTTCAACTCCAATTGTCTCCATCTCTGACAGGTCACTCTGGATGGGACGGCGTAGAGCCGCGATGAATAGAAGCACTCTCCTCGCATGTTTGTTTTTGTTTTTTATTTACAAGCATGCATAATATCACGCTTTCATTTAAAAATATCCGTGACACTGTTGACAAGATACTGTGTGAGGAAAAACAGAAACCTTTTGTAATTAGTCCTACACAGGCAGAGGTAAAAGCTTTTTTTCTCAGACCAGACCGGCGGAAAAATGAATCTGTGGTTCTCCGAGCCACTGGATTGGAAATGAACACAACGCATTCTTTCCCTTGTTGCGTTAAATTCCATCTTTGAGGTAATATTTTCTAACAGTCCTATCTGCATCTGCACAAACTGAGGTCTGGAATAATAACATCTGACTGAATGATCAATGGTGCTACTCCAAAATTGTAGTTCAAAGAAATCCTGTGAATATTCTTCATTCTGTCAGAGACTCATATTAATCAATAAATCATTTAGAAATGGCCAATTATTTGGATTTGAAGTTAAAAAAAATTGTAATGATGGTGACAATGTTTTAACTCACTACAAGAAAAACCAAGCGCTAAATAATAAAAAACTGAATCACACTTTTCAGTTTCCGCAATTTTGGATGTTACTGTGACATTGATATACACACTGCAGTCCAGTAGGTGGCAGTAATGCAACCGAAGTTTGGATTACAACACATAAACTTTTAAGTTTCCTTATATTTATTTTTATTTATTATAAAATTACTTATTTCTATATTATGCATCAGATCACTGCACTCATTAACCCAGGTATCCAGGCTGAACTTACTCTGTAGCAGCCCCTGCAGGTAAAAGGAGGATCCTATTTATGAATTAAGAAACAAAAAAAAAAATTATAAAGAAATTGACATTGATTGTTTAAGGTGATAACACACTGAGAACTCTATGTATTTGTCTTTATTATGGTTCATTTTAAACAGGCTGCTGCGTTCTGTGTCACTCCGTTCGCTGCAGAGAAACAATTTCCTCAAATTAATGTCTGGCATCATTTGAACGTCACTGCGATGCTTTCTCCTCTACACCTCGTCAAAACCACTGTCCAGCGCTGACGGGGTGAGACGAAGGAAAAAGGCTACGGATTGATCATTTCTGACCACAAAAGAGTTGGGTTGCACGGGGCTTTTTTTCCCATCAGCCCTGTCTGCGGCCCCTGGATCCAATATTCATTTAGCTTGATGTATTCTAGGGCTTGAAACTTTAATGTGATTTGTGGGGGAATCCAGATGGCAAGTTCACGGATCAACGCGGCTCACTGACAGTGCTGGTGCCAGCGGCCGGTGCACAATAACACGGCATGCCTGCAGCCCCCCTCCCCGCCCCCCGCCCCCTTACTCTGCCTAACCATACCTCATTTCCCCAACCTTGCCATCAACACACACATTTTCTTTTGTTGCTATCAAAGGACTGGAGCTGGGAGATTGCAGAAGGAACCATTCGGGAAGCTGACATTCAGGTCAGTGCTATCAGTCTTCTGATCTCTTGTTTTCACCCTCTGTGATTCTCCCACCCTTGCATTTTTTTTGCCTCCCTCACTGTCTGTTTGCCACTCACTTCTGTTCTCTGTCCACATCTCCTTTGTCTTACTTCATCACACTCACTCCTACTTCGGCCACACTGGTGCACATGGCCTCTGACTCATTCTTTATCATCCTCTGGAACTCGTTCACTGCATCAGTCACTCTCTTCACTCTGGTTACTTCACCTCTCCCTCCCT